GGGGGGGGGGGGGGGGCATTTTCATATAATTTCCTCCTTGCTTCACAGAAAAATGACGAAGGGTTTGTTCTGTTTGGTGTGGAAATGGAGAAAACTGGCTTGGTGAGAAAACTTCTGTTGGAATTCAGATGTTAGCTGGCTTTTTGTTTTACCTCCAGATGTTTGAAGCATATTCCGCTATTACTCTGAGGTTGCTAGAGGAGAGGCTTTGGTTTTTGTAGATCTTTTTAATGGCAATCTCCTGTCTTTCTTTTCTAAAAGGTTTTCTAGTTCAGGTAAGGAGTGATGCTGGGAATCATTCTGTTTGCTTAGTGAAAGAAGTTAAAATGTATAGTTACAATGTTCCCTTGTAACTTTGTAGCTTATAAAGATATTAGGTAAATGAATCAGATTATTCTGAGGTTGATAAATTGGACATAATGTGTGTAGTATGAGTTCCAGCTGAATTAACACTGGTCTGATTTTTCTGATGTCACTCTGGAGCCTTATGCTGTTTTTAATATGTTTTGCTTTTAAATTTCAGTGTTCAGAAATTTAAAATAGTAAGCTCAGCTCTGCCAAGAAGAGATAAAGCTGATCTTGTGCTTTAAAGTCCAGAACTGGAGATGGGGAGTTTTAGCTCCCTTAACAATCCAGTGTGGAAGCTGTTATTTAATAGTGCCCTTCAGTTTGCTGATCTGTAAAAGGAAGATGTTGCTGGTATCTCTTGTCAAGACCTAAAAAAGTGTGCTGAGTATCTCAGGTAGAAGACACTATTCACATTGTTTGTATTTGTTCTAATATCTTTTAGAATAGACAATCCACAAAAAAGGTGAATAACTACCCTTGTGCATTTCCATGGTTTTCTTTGTGGGAGTCTCTGCTTCTTGTGCTGCAGGAGGAAAAAGGAAGATTTCCTGTCTGTGAAAGTTACTTTACATCAGCCAGTCCTATTACATGGCATAGGTAGCTTAGAACAAGAGATTAAAAGCAAGAATATGCCAGTAACATTATATCCAAAGCCTTTAGAAGTAAATGAAAAAGGTAGTTTTGATGTCCTTTGAGAGTTTAAACTCCAGAGGAGGACCAATGTGAGGGAAGAGGTTAAAGCCTTTAAATATATGCCACCATTATTTTTAATAGACAAAGTAAAACAAGATTTTCCCAGTAGCCAAACTCACCCATCTTCCTAGAAATAAATTTCAAAGGTCTAAAACAATCAGAATTAAGAGAAAAGTTGTAGGTGCCAGCAGGGTTACAAATACAGCTGCAGTCACCAGTGTATTTACCACAGTTACTGTGAAAGATTTTCTTGGAAGTTCAACAATGACCAAGTCAAGCAACTTCATTATGGACAAGTAGTTTTGTATTCCACAGGCTCTAGGACTTGGAACATAATGTTAGTGGTTGGTAATCTCTCCTGGAAAATTAAAATGTTAATTACTTTAAATATATATATATATATTTTTTTAAGCCGCTCACCCTCTGACACCAGTAGTGCACTAGAGAAAAGTTAAAATACTTGTAACTAATATCTGTGTAGTTTGGTGTACATAGTCTTTATTAATAACCATTTGAAGATTCTTAAAACACTGGGGTTTTTTCTTATCATAAGTTGTTTGTGGTTTTTTTCACCTCACCCTGTGTAAAGGTTCCTGAGACACCCTACCTGTTCAAAGTTTGCAAGAATCATCATTTCTTCTGTGCAGGGATGCCTAGATACTTGTCAGCACACAGTGGAAAATTCTCAGTGATTATTTCACTTTTCTGTGTGTGTTCTCAAACCATTACCACAGTGGCTGAAATCCCCAGAGGAAAGGTTACATTATTACAGAAACAGTGGTGGTAAATTCTTCCCTTATACTGGTTGATAACTGTTGCTACTTTTTGTTTCAGGTTCTCCTTGATGAACTTGCATCCACTAAATATTGGGTATCCATGCATGTCTCAGACCATAGTGGATTTCATTACCGCCAGTTCTTGCTCAAGTCCTTGATAGGCAGAACTGTGACTGACAATAATGTACTGGTACAAAATCAAATGGTAAATGAGCAAAACCCTAGCCTTCAAATGGAGAAGGAGAGTGCAGGGGCAGAAGCTGCCTGTGCAGAGGATCAGAGCCTGGATCTCCCCCACCGTTTAGAGGAAGAGTTGGAGCTCTGTACCGAACTGATTGATACTTACCCAGGGCATGAAACCTTGTGGTGTCATAGGTAAGAGGACTTGGTCAAAAGAGTGTCCTGATTTGTGGATTGTTCTTTGCTTGATGTTTCCAGACAAATTATTATTGTGATGTTAAAAGGCACCACTCAATAAAAGATTTCTAAGATACCATGTCTTAAGCCTTTGGAAACATTAAGAGCATAATAAGAGCTATTGAATGATAAGTTTGATTGGGCTTAAGTATCTTGTTGATGTAAGCTCACTCGTCCCTGTAGTTTTTAGAGACACAAGGTATGGTTAATCAGCCTCGTCACACTTAAAATGTTTAAAAGCTGGCAAAGCACAGGTTTCTGCAGCTGGGTGTATGCCTGACTAGGTAACAGTAGATTTGCTGAAGTGACACTGGACCCTTTTTTGTAGAGTGTGAGCAGTGATAGCAGATTTTGTGTCTGTGGAGGAACCTGGTGGGATGGCAAATGAACTGGAGCAGTTCAGTATCAACAGCAGATTATTTTCAATGTGTGACTTTTGTTTTTCTGGGTTCTTTTTTTCCTCTGAAGGAGGTGTGTGTTCTACCTTCAGTACCACCTAAGCCACAAACTTCCTCTTCTGAGTACAGTGGTATCATCTGTGGACAGCAGCGATGAAACTCTGAGTAATTCCCACCACAGTCCTGCGACAAGTCACATGGCACAAGCTATGGATGTTGATGGTTTGAATGAATCTGGCAGCAAACAAGGTTATAACCAAGAAACAAAACGCCTGAAGCGTGCTCCTATGCAGGACTCTCTTGGTCCAGAAATGGAATACCTGTTCATTGATAAAGTATTATCAACTTGCAGGGATGCCGACCAAACCAGGTTTGCTACTGCTTATAGGAAATGGTTAGTTACTTTTTTAGGTCAGTGAAGGAAGTGTTTAAAGCCTTCAGGGTTCTTCTTCTAGTGCAATATTATCTTTTCAGAAACCAATGCATGTCTTGGTTGCAAGTGTTAGCTAACCATGTGTTTCTCACTCTTTTAATGGTCTGTCCTAAAGTTCAGAGTTGAAGTTTGTCACTATTTATTAAAGAACTGGCATACCCTTTTATTAATCAAATGCAGTTTATTCTTCAATCTTTTTAAGAAATCACTCTGTGTCAGCTTTCTGCCATGTCATTTTCTTAACTTTGCATTAAGCTGGACTCTGAATCACTTGGCTTTGGAAAGAAAAAAAAATCTGAAATGCTTTTGAAACAGAATATCTGGAAAAAAAATAGGAGGATCTGTCAGTATCAGCTAAACCTGTTTCTAGGCTGTTCTTTATTATAGTGGTGTCTTGCTAATACCTTTTTGAATTCAGACTGTATTTGGTGAGTGCTGTTACTTTTGTATTGGCAAGCTTTGATAGAACACCAGACTGCAGTGTTTCTTTCTCAAGGCTTCAGTAACAATGTGGGAGCCATGCCTTCTACTGTTGTAACTGGGGTTTTGTTTGCTTATTAGTTGTCACATGTGTTTGATAGGAAAGTCTATGAAGTTTTAATCCCGAAAACCAGGTACAGGAAAATAGTTCAAACACACGTTCACACTCACAATCAGAGCTATATTTGGAAATACTTTCCTTAGACTACTTTATCTTAATTTCCTACTCAGTATTTATTTATTTATTTTATTTCAACAATCCAGAATTAATGACACTTGATACACATTTCTGAATGTATTATGTACACTACAGAATCTCAGCCTGCTAAATCATACACTGGTAACTTTACTTAGCCAAGACCATGCAAGTCCAATAGACGATGGAGTAAAAAGTAATTCTTCTGAGTGGTCATTGAGACAGCAGGAGGGAGCTATCTCTTCGCTTTTGTTCTTCCTAAGAGCTTCAGTCTTTGTTGGTTTTTTTTTCCTTTTGACTCTTCCTTAAGAGCACTCTTCCAACCATATATCTCTGTTTACATAACTGTAAAATTTAAGGGAATTTGAAACACATTTCTATTTCATTTCCAGTGAAATTAAACATGAGTAGTTTATATTGTAATTTGCTTAGAACTTGTCTATATAAGGGATTTTTTTACACTAATGGAATTGTGCTGGTCCAAAGACCCAGGGGAGATACATTGTACAACTGCAGAAGTTTGTACAATGGCAACATCACCTCTTTTCCAAACAGACTGAGGGGATTAGATTTTCACTGAGGGGATTAGATTTTCAAGCTAGAGTCTTTGCCAAAATTACTGTGTATTTCTCTTGCCCAAAGTGCCTCCTAACTATGATAAGTTTCAAGCTGCTGTTTCTGTTGGGCAGAGAAAGCAACAATGAGGGAGGAAAAAAGCCCAGGTAGTTGCCTCAAAAGGTATTATTTGGAAAGAAAAAAGACACTTGAAAGATGCAGAATTTCAAAAGTTCTGAATAATTTGATGGATGGGGATTACTCTTGCATTTCAAAGTGAAAATAGACCATCTCTAGTCTAAGAGATATGTTCATAACTCATTTCAAGCACAGAGTAGCTAATGAAGACATTTCTAAAAATACTCTCTTCTGTTTACAGTACCTAGATCAGAAGCATCTCCATGTCAAAGCTTTGTTTCAGCGGGCATCCACACCTGCCTCTCTATAGCTAGGGACATGCTACATGGCCATTTGTGCTGAGGTGCTCTGGGATGCTGTCTTGCTTGATAGTTTTAGTTGCAGAAGAATATAATCGATGTGTGAAGGAAGTGTGAGAAGCGCTTGAGAGGATAATTTCATCAGAAGATGCCTCTGTGGTCACTGACAGATGGGTAGGTTCAGGTACAAACCAGAGTCTGAACTTAATTTGAGCAAGAATTTTACCCATCCCAGAAGACCTGATGGTTTTTGAGTATGAAAGATACATTAAAGCATGTGTGGTAGCCTGGGTCAGCTTGGTTAGCAGTATCTCATTAATGGCTAATAGGAACCTGGAAAGCATGAAGTCAACGGGCATTGTATTAAGGATCATGTTCTTGGTCCTAGATTACTTAGTAACATAGTTGAGTGTTCTCTTTTACCTTGGCAAAAATTACCTGTTCAGAGAAAAATGTTAGTGGCAGGAGCAGACTGAGATGTAGGAGCATGATAAGAAATACTTCTTGAACTGTGGGAAGGAAGTGATGCTCTCTTCTTGCACTGGAGTGATTGAGTTTTTTTAGAGAAAAAGATTTATATTAGGATCTGACTTGAAACCCATTATATATTTCTTCCAGAAAATATAGGAGGGAATATGTTTTTATTCTTCTAAAAAAATCCGGAGTCTTAGTTGGCTTTCTTAAAGCTATGTCATGGAAGTACTGTGCTATTAAATTTGACAATCTTACCATCCTAAACACTGAAGATCAAACAGCTGCCCTCATATACATGTGTGTAGTTCCTGTTCATGTCAGCACAAGTTATGCATGCTTGTAGGAAAACAAGATTTGGTCCTGTGTAACTGAACAGAGTTGCATTATATTTTAATACTTGGAAAATATTCTGACATTTCTGATTAGAGATGGTTTTGATACTTTTATTACTTTTACAAAACTCTGATGACTGAAGTATGACTCTTAAGTGTGGGTTTTTAAAATCTACACTTGATGGAAATACTTGCCCCCTCTTTTTTTTTTTTTAATCCAGGAAGAATAGTTGCATTTAGAAACCAGACTGCCACACAGAAAAATAAACAATTAAAGTGAAATTGAAACAAGTCATATCTTCCCCTTTGAGAGAAATGCAAGCCATAAGCTGTCAAAATTGAGCTTTAATTCTTTCACATTAACAATATAAATCATATGAAAGAAGAAAATATGTAATTAAATTACTTCAAGCTGTCAGTGTCCTGAAGCCTCTTATATAAAATGATTGAAGAGATACTTCCAACAAATTGCATTAAGCTTACAACTGTGTGATGTTCTGGAACTATGATCTTTGGATCATATTTGTTGAATCATTTGGTATTACTGTAGAGTCCCATTTGGACATTGCTTGAAAAAAGGTCTTCAGGACATTGGTAGTTGACATGCATAAAGGTTACTGAGTACAGCTACTTTAAGTAATGTATTTTAGTTATTTTGTGTTTCAGAGGTCAGAGAATTATAATATAGTCAGTGAACATTCTTGCAGATAAAATGTTGAACAGAATCTGCAGAATAAAAGGCTCTCCCTGATCCTTCAGATATAAAATCAAACTTTGTACATCTGTAAACATCTTTATATCAAGTTCAGCATCTTTACTGATTTTGTCTTCTGCTCTAGTATGTGTGATTTGAGTTGATAAAAATTCTTTTTGTTCACTGGATTAGTCTTTGTAGAAATTTCTTTGTGCTAGACACAAATGTAATTTGAAACTACAGAAATTATAATAGAAGGAATCACACTTTAAGGGGTTGCAATTTCTGCTGCTAAATACATTAACTGTTATTTCGTTTATCTTGTCTGTACAGTCACTGGAGCAACACATGCAGCGTTAAAGATAGCTACAATTACAAACATGTATAAAGTTGTTATTGGAACGCATTGCTATAGCTGCTCTGATTAATGTTTGTAAGTCTACGATTGTCTGCATATTAGTCTTTCGTTGACTACTTACATATTCTTTATACCAGAAAATCCTTCTGTCACTTAAATAGGGGGAAAATTGTTGGTTTATACTGTTTGATCAGTTACCTTATATAGAACTTGTTTTAAGACAAATAAACAAAGCGGTAATATAATGAGAAAGCTTAGATGCTGTCTTACAATCAAAATTGCTGGTATTTCAAGTTTTGACTCAGTGCTACTTAATTAGAATGTGTAGCTAGTATTTATATGGACAGGAGTGAGTTTTTTCCTAAGTAGATAATTAGTGATTTTTTAAAACAATACTGTGTAATATTCATGACCAGAAATTAAGGGCTTTAGAAAGTCTTCTCCACGTAGCCAGACTCAACAAGCATGCTTTTTAAGAATAACATAATACAATGAACAAAATGTGACTACCAGATAATAATTTAAGTGATGAGCCTTCAGAGACTTGATGATTGAACTTTTGGACAAGGTTGTTTGCTTAGTTTTGTTTTGCTTTCTGGAAGGGAAGAATATTCTGTAGTTTTTCAGTAGGAGTTGAACTACTGCACTTACAGTGTGGGGAAAAAAACACAACTCTTTCATTGAGTCTTCTAGAGTAATTTTGGAAGAAGCAGCAGTGAAGTGAAATGTAGATGTGGCTTTTAAATGCATGTTTGTCCTATACTCATTTGGTGATGAGATCTTAACACCTTACTGTTTTATTCATGTCAGATACAAAGGAAAGAGGGTAACTCACCTTTTCTCACATGCACTTAACATTCAGGTTAGTTTAAAGGAAGTTCAGTGTCCCTGTCTTAAGATAACTTTCCTTCTTTTTTTTTTCTCCATGTGCTCAGAGGCCTGTTTCCTTCCCAACATTGTTGCTGTTCTTCCAACCAGCAAAGAAAAATGTAGCAAAGGTTGATGAGGTGTCCTCATTTCATGTTTGGATAACCCTGACTACCTCCCAGACAGTGCTCTGATTGATGTCCTTAAGTGGAGTTAATCAGGCTGATTTTTCAGAACCTTGTGCTAGGCCTACATCCTCTTTGAGAAGTGAAAAGCAAGAGCTTTATCTATGAAGCCATGTAGTTTCCCCGGGAGAATGTAAAGGAGAAAATTTTAAAAAAATTAAATCATGTAGTTAAAGTTGGGAAAAATAGATTAGCATAAACTTTAATTGGTCTTTTCCTCAGAAGCAGCAATGTGCTGCTGAAAAATGGAGAAAATATGTGCTTTCAAGAAATTCCATGTAGACAGTTTATGCTTTTAAATTATAGACCTGATACTTTCTAGTGGCTTTTATTTAGGGTGTAATGTTACTTCTCAGGGCATAATCAATTGTAGTGAATTAGCA